TGGAACAGAAAACAATAACATTGTCATCAAGTAAACTCCATTACCACAGTCAGGTTTGTGCAGGATGGCAAAGTGTTTTCTGGCTTCAGCATTCCAAACTGCTCAATATCTGCTGCAAGATGGAGAAAAGGAGGCAGTTTGTGGCAGACTACCCCATATCTTCTAGAAGTCAGTTTGCCACAGATCATTTTTCCCAATCTTCAGCTTGGTGCAGGTTCACAGTGCAGTAACAGTCTTAACAGCATAGGTACAGTGTTAAGTTTAGTTTTTGCCTGCAAAAGGCCAAGAGGGTTTAAATGTGGATTTTCAAAATGCAGTTCTCCTTTAAACATTGAATGAGCCACATTACTCTTAACTTATAAAAACAGATTCCAGTCAAGTTTAAAAGTTTCCATTAAAAAGGAGAACTATGGGGTTAAGGCTTTTCCCCATAGTTCTCCTTAGGGTAACGGGAGGACACAAACTAGCGTCCTCCCGTCACCCTAGGCTCAGTAAACCGCGAGCCGTAGCTTGCGGTATACCGAGATGCCGCAGTATACCGCGAGCTGCTGCTCGCGGTATACCGAGACGACGCAGCGGATCCCGACAATTGTGCCGGGATCCGCCCAGCTGCGTGACTGACAGCTGGCTCTGTCTATCTAGAGGCAGAGCCAGCTGTACCGGCACCCTTCCTTGTCCGTTCCGCCAGTCAGCACTAGAGGATCGGAGCGGGGAGGGGGGAATCCAGCCCCTCCCCTGTCACGGCAGAGAGCCGTGACAGGATCGAGAGGTGAGCAAACGCCGGTATGTGTTCGCTCACCTCCCGATCTACTGAGCCGACCTGTGACAGTCTCATTGTCACGGGTCGGCTACAACTATGAGGTGAGTGAAAAGCACCCACCTCATAGTTCTCCTTTAATAACCAACAGGTAGTATTTGGCAACATATGTACTAGCAAAAGTGTGCCCCTTCATGGACAGGCCAGGTTGGTGATTGGACGGTTTGGAATGGTGGCAGGTGCAATGGTTAGCGCAGGGAAGGGGGAGGGGGGGCGCGCGCCTAGCGAATTGGTATTGTTAGGGTGGCGGCAAGTGAAGTGAAGCAATAAAGAGCTAATGAGAAAAAAAAATTAAAAATGAAGAAAGCCTGCAATGTGAGGTCATGAAAATGTAGACACATACATCACTGCACCTCTGCATCACTATAATAAATGTGCTAATCACTTACAAAAGGTTGAAATGTACTTTAAGAACATGACAGAAGCCTGAGGGGAGAGGAACTCCATGATTCAGGTAAGTTGGGATGGTAAGGTTTGGGATGTGACCATGTTTTATGTTACACCCTAAACATAGATGGAACATAAAACATGATCAGAAAAGTGAACATAGCTTTTCGAAAAAAAGCTCCTAAAATAGCCGCAGCTAGTAGGCACACCCAGAAACTCAGGTGTAGAAATCTCAGCAATAAAGTCTGAGATAAGAAACAGTCAGGTGTTTGATCCTTTGCCACCAAATATTGGTTTTGGGTGGACTACCCATTAAAGCGATCTTGGTGCTACCCCTTCCAACTTCCCTGCTGATACTATAATGTGCTATGTGGCCTCATGGACCAACAGTGAAGGGTATGCCAAGCAGGAGTTTCTAAAAGGTAAGGTTGTGATTTTACTCTACGTTCCTGAATTTGACATAGTGTCTGTAGTGTCCTTACAACAGAGCTCAGACTGGAAGAAGCAGCACAAGTAGCCAATCAGTTTTGATGCAGTCCTCATGTGCTAAAAAAGGGACACGCTGAAAAGGCGGAGACTGCAAAGAAATGGCCTGAACAGCATGCTGCTTCTCCCCAACTGTACACTCTCAGGCATGGAAGACCAAGTAGTTATACTTCACTGCAACTCAGACAAATCAGCCTTCTGCCCAGTCAGTATGTTGTGTAAATGTCAAACTGGATGGCCAGAAATACAATGTTCCACCACATGCAATCTCTGCTTTATCATTATTTCACCATAAACGCAGCCTGCATTGGCTAGGTTTGTGACCGATATTGCATCCAAAATGGAATTACATCGTTTTACCGACTGCCAACATATCACAGTAAAGAAACTGGAAAGAATACGGAATAGGTAGAGCTTGTTCTTACACAAGAGTTTGTTGCTTCTGCTGTTCAGAGGCTCGGGGATGCTCGGGTCTTTGGATTTATCATTATCTTCAATTGGTCGGAAGTGGGCCAGCGTCCTCATAAAACCGCGGAAATTAACTTGGTCCTCTCTGAAGACAAGGCAAAATAAATAAATAAAATAGTCATACTGACTGTATGCATATCATTCAACTTAAAGGAACTCCAGGGAAAAATCATTAAACCCTTGCAGTGGGGTTACCTCTGCACTGCGAGGGTTAAGTGCTCATTTGTGTCTAGGGAGGAAAATAAAAAAAAGATATACTCACCTGATCCTTGGAGCCAGCTTGCTTTTAGACCGGTCCCTGGAGCCTCTCTCCCCCTCCGCTGCAATAATCTAAAGGTCCCCGAGTCATCATGTTCTATACATTGTATATTGAACGCAAGGACACAGAGGGATATACCATCTCTGCAGAGCAGGAGAAGACAGGCAGGCACTGTCACTAAGGGCTTGTTCACACTAAATGCAGACCAGATCTGCATGAGTTTCTGCACACGCAGTGTAGTGGGTTGTGCCACGTCTTTGATGCGTTCCGGGCCGTTTTTGGTTGAAAAATGGGCTTTCAGTGCGTTTGCATGCGTTCCAGAGCAGGTAAAATAGGGCTTGCTGCAGTTTTTTTTACATGCTCTGGAACTGAACTCTGCGGTGTGAACTAGAGCCCAAAATACCTTTGGAATACATTGGAAGATCAGCAGCAGGGAGCTCACACCGACTAGTCTTTCACCCTCCACCCTTTGCCTTTCATGTTCAGAGTTTGGCAGTGAGGCATGTGCAGGGTGAGAATGTCACCTTTATCTAGGCAAATCAACACTCTTAGGCAACCGGCAAAAAATAAATAAGATCATATCTCCATCATACATTCTCGATTTTGCACACAAACATTTAGTTAGCAACTAAATTTACGTAGTTTCCAACTAAATTCTTAGTTTACATCTTGCGGCCAGCCGACATGCTAGATTCTGCAGTCGGGATGGAGCTCCTCTGCTCAGTGGGTGGGTGCAATAGCCAGCCTGCTACTGGCTACTGCAATTTGAAATAGCCAACAGCAGTCTTGCTATTGCTCCAGACCACCGCCCGCTGTTTACATTCACTTACCGGCTGCGGAATCTAGCGGCCAGTGGAATGCGATCTTCCGGTAAACCGAGAGTTTACTTACATTCTTAATACCTATTGATCTACCCTTCATATTCTTGCTTGATTTTGGTTAACGTCAAGTAGCAGCCACCTCACTCATTTAATATGTATATACCGTAACCAAGTACAACATGGATTAGACTGACAATTGTAAGAATGCGGTCCTAAAACCAGACAGCGACTGACACTTCCTCTAATGAACTTTGGATAGAAAAACATTAAAAGGAACAATCATTAGCGCAATCAATTGTATGAGGTTTGGCCTTGCTTAATCTCCACATTCCAGCGCTTGATAACAAGCATGGTTGCAATCAACATACTTTACAAGGCACCAACGAAGTTAAAGCCCTTTGGCTTGAGCTTACCCTTCAGAGAAAAATGCATTGATGATTCGGTCACCCAAGGGGTTTATTGCCAGTTCTGGTATTCGTTGAAAATCTTCCCGGCTAGCAAACAAACAAAAAAAAAAAAAAACACATGTAAAAGGTAAATGGTGAGACATAACATATTTATAGATTAAAACACTTCCTTTGCTTTACAGTATTGAAATGAAAGTTCCTTTAAAATATAACAAAGTATGGGCTTTGGCAAAGTACTGACCAAGCACGATGATATTTAACACAGGCTCCACCTACTCTCTGCACCAAGGTTTCATTTATTTTAAAAAACCTGGCTCACTCTGTACTGCAAATGGGTAACAGGGTCCAAGCCATAATGGAAATTAAGTTAGCATGGGTGCAGGCAACCAAAGGTGCCGGTGTTATCATTCTTCTGCCAGTTTAGAATTTTCCTGATTGCCACAGTTCATGGAAAATTCCCCTGTAAACCATCATGCAAAATGACCTCCAAATTACTCAGCAGTATTTTAGCATTATGTATTGATCAGCTTTCTCCGTAACATGACAGTCAAGACTACTTTAATCTAAATCCAAGAACAAAATAATATATTGCAGCATACCAATCCTTATATGTTTTGGTGGCATTCTACTTTTCAGGCTTTTTTTGTCCTTTATGATCATCGGGTGATCCTGGCAGTAACACTTCCTGTTATAGGGTGACAACACTCACTGCACTCTATGAACCATCAGCATTGCCCCCCTAATACAGAAAGGGTTTTAGGATTACAGAATACCCCCTCACCTAATCTCTATAATATGGGGGAGGGGTGCGCTGTAGTCCACAGAACTAAAAACTTGGCAGGCTGATTACACAGCTTGGTATTTCAGTGCAGAGCATGAAGTTTAGCGCTCACTGGATTACTGAAGGATCAACAGAGAATTAGCAGTGTATCCATTGCCATGGCTAGAGGATCCCTGGACCTGGAGACAAACTAGTTGAATTTGGAAGCCAAGATCCATATCAAGCATTCCCCACCATGACAGAGGTCATGAACAGACCACTCTGTTGAGTCTAGACATTGTGAACTGAGCAAGTCAGCCTGGAATGTTCATGGAAGACAGAGTTTGGATGTTTCAAAGCCAGAATCTGGTCAGATTTTCTATAAAAAAAGACTTCTGGTTCCTCCCTGATGGTTGATGCATGCCACACTGGACTGAAGAGTTTGAACATGGGAGCAGAGAGTTGGGAATTTCTCTTGCGTAAGAAAAAACACTGGACTGAGCAGTACCTTGGAGGCCTAGATACTCCAAGTGAAAAGTCAATTCATCACTACAATTCAGCAAAGGGAAACAGTCTCAGAGACCCTTGCGAGGAGAACAGTGGCAGTGAATTACCTCAGGCTAAGAAGGCAGGAAGTCAATGTAAGAGCGCATGCCTGACTCTGTGGTATGTGTTGCAGCATACGAAGGCACGTACGACACAAGCCAATGTGGTGCAGGGATGCAATGCAGGGCACATGTAACACATTCAAAAGGGACGTAGCATCATTCCCTCAGAGTACCTGTGCCATATTCGAATGTGATGCAGCACCAAATCTTCAAAGTGTTAACCACAAATTATTCCAAGAAGGCGGCAAAAAAAACAGTCACTTTCCCCAGCAGTGGTCTGAAAAGTGCCCTGTTGCCAACAATCACAGAAACAAATACTGGAGAGTGCCAATGCAGGGTTCAGTGCAAGACCATTTCAGATAATCTTTGCACCCCAGGTGGGCATACCCCCGATATGTGTGCAACTTGCAACACGTACAGGTGCACCAAGCCTTTAACATTCTAACTTAAAGTACGGATTTCTATTCCATTTCAACCCCGAACTAAGGGGGTGGAGGGACACACTAAAATGCCATTTTTCTTGTGTGGTTGGGGTGAGTCCACAGGTTCATTTCTATGCAGCAGGTGAATTTGTAGCATTGCACAGACTGAGCCTGTATTGACATCTCAGCGGTTCCCTGCAGCATAATGCAGTCATCTCATGCAGCACACTGCAGTAAACATATGATTGTCATACAAATCAGTCAAGCACATTCAGAGTTCTGAGGCAGCGCAGTGTGCTAGGAGAAAAGCAGCCTGCAAAAATTCTCAGAGACTTTTTCCCGATAATGAATCCAGATCAAAGAAATATACATTGGCCAGCAAAGTATTTCTTTACACCAAGGGCTGGTTCACACCATCTCGGGACCGTACTTTTTTTTTATCCACGCCAAATAACGCATACACAGTAATGCCAATGGTTTTAAAATGAAGCTAGTTCATTCAGTTCCACAAAAACATGTTATGCACCTGAACACACTGAAACACTTAAACCCCAAGCAAAACCACTTAAAAATGCACTGGAACACATAGAAAATGTGTGAACACATTTGTAGAAGTGCATCCAGATCTGGTCTGCAGGTGGTGTGAACAGTCCCTTACAGTAGTGATGCACCGATACCGGGTATTTGGGAGAGAACTTCCATCATCAGGAAGCCGGGTGGCGAGTCATTACATGTCACCTGGCTTCCATATTGGCCGGGAAGCTGGCTCCATGCTGCCTTGTCACCAAGTGACAGGAGTAGAGGTTTAGGTCACCGGAGGACATTAGTACAGTATATGTCCTCCTGTGACCCTGAAGAGAACTATGGGCAGAAAAGGTTGCCCCATAGTTCTCTTTTAAGGAAACCTGAAGGGAGAAACGTATGTGGCCTGCCACTATGAACATTCCCTTCTGAGAAATATGCTAGTTGCCTGGCTGTCTTTGGTTTCAGTACTTTTGAGTCACTGGCATGGAATAGGCATGCACTGCAGTAAATGAAGCCACAGTGATTGTTGTATTGAAGCATCAGGATCCATATGACAGCCAGACAACTAGCATTTCTTTTAGGACTGTCGCCAGGAAATACCCATTACAGGTGCAATATTTACAAAAACATAATTATACAGATGGCAACAGGAAGAGAACAAAGTACAAAAAGCCCCCCAGAACACTTATCATTTGTTTTACAAAAACAATCATGACATAACAGCAAATCATTCAGAACCAGAAAAGGTAGATTCACTTGGAAACTGTAAAACATCTGTGTGGGGCATCAAAAGTAAGAGGAAAGTGTATAGTTAGCATTCGCTAGAATGGAACCAGCACAAAAGTCTGAATTTGGAGTCTCAGGCCAATGCCAAAATGTGTTGTCAGACAAGCAGATACTAGAGAGACTGTGCCAGTTCAAACAAACAGTGTAAAGAGCTGGTCTGAACAATTGGTTTTGTTTTAGTGTTGGTCACCAAGATAGACCAGGAGGTCCTTTTTTAATCAGTCAGATTATTAATATGATGGGGGGGGGAGTGAGTGGTTGGATGCCCTCCATAAGGCTGGAATGTACTGTATGCAGAGCTGGATTTCCATTACTTCAACCTGTAGGTACAAAACCTTTGAGGTCACAAGCAAAAAAAAAAAAAACACTTCTCTACCAGGATAACCAGGATTCTAGCGAATGTTATGACAGGGTGCAAATATGTTTTTAAAAGGACAGCAGTTCCGAGGATGGTAAAATACGTGTTCTGCCAGTAACTATACAGGGAAAACCGCTTTGTCTCTGCGTACAAAAAAGGCACGAGCCTACTTGGCCTAAGGTCCTAGTTACATTTCTCCGGACTGTAGTGCATTTTATTGCATGTTACCATAATGGATAAAATATGTGAATGGCTCCCAATAAATGGCCCTGAAAATATCAGTAAGTGAATTAAAAGGAGTGCTTTCAAAGATTCTTAGACATTGCTTTTAGGTTTAGCAAGTAGCTGACTCTTCATCCAACTTAAAGAACTATGGCCAAACCTTTTTTGGCATTCATTCTCTTTTGGGTCACAGGAGTACATTTACTAATGCCCTCCTGCGACCCAAAACTCAGCATAGATAGTCCATGGTCCCATCGCACTCCTGACCGCGTATATCCCTTCAAGAATTTGGGTGCTGCGGTAGTCAACGGGTGGCAGCCGTAACAATCGTGAGCTAAAGCAGAGACACCGGCACTCCAAAATTGGAGTGCTGGTGTCTCTGCTTTAGCGCAAAACTCAGCATATCGCAGGCTGTTGCCCACTATATGCTGACCTGCAGCGCTGCAGCCGGGAACAACCCCAACAATATTGCCAGGATCCACCCCACTGCCTGATTGACAGCTGGCTCTGCCTTTCTAGAGAGCCAGAGTCAGCTATGCAAGCCCCCTCCCCTATCTGTCCCTCCAGTCAGTGCTGGAGGGAGGAATCCCTACGGGGAGGGGTGACTGGCAGTCCCTGCTCTTATCCGGTATCAGAAGGTTGTGGAATTTAAAATAAAAAGTGTCTCTCAAAACAGTCTTATTTGGGGGGAGCAGGCAAAAAACCTTGCATAAGTTAATAGAACTCTACAAGACATGTTCTTGTTGTCTGAAAGGCTGAATCAGATTCCATCAAACAGGGTACTTCGAGGATGGCTAATTCCACAGCTTTGGAAATGGTAAATAGTTACATAGTATTTAATGACAATGCACCGATACTAGTATCTGTACCGATACCGAGTACTCTTACTCACCAAAATGCTCCGATACTTATGCCAATACTGGAACTTCCGGTCAGAGGGCCATTTCTTCTGCCCGGCAGTGCCGTGTGGGAGCATGGAGTCGGCTTCCCGGCGAATCAGGTAACCAGGCTATGGGTAATGACTCGTGGCCCGGATTCCTGATTGGCCCGGGAAGTCGGCTCCATGCTACTAGAAGTACCGGTATAAGCGAGTACCAAAATATAAATATCGGTACTCGATACTGAAAAAACAGCATCAGTGCATCCCTAGTATTGGTGGTTGAATAAGAGACAGAGATCCATAGAGTTCAACCTATGCAAGTGTGTGTGTGTGTGTGTGTGTGTGTGTGTGTGTGTGTGTGTGTGTTCCAATCATTAAGAGTACCTGTACGTTATGTTCGCCAATGAAAGGAGCTAAATCGATTCTTGAATTACTCAATACTCTCTGCCGATAGCACTGGTTGTGGAAGAGAGTTCAACAATTTTACCATTCTATCAGAAAAGAATTCCCCTTTCTGGTTAAAGCT